ACAGAAAACATGTTGAATATTGAAACCGCTCGAGGGAACACTGAAGGCAAATTTAGAAAATACGGGAGCTGACAGCATTTACATGAGAAGCTCTGTGAAGATAACTGTAAGAAACCACACAGAATTTTACAACAAATCATGCTCGAAGACGAGGATTAATCCTCCACCTTCTCTTCCTTTCAGAGAGTTTGGTCAGCGTCACCCCTCCTAACGTCGTCACAGCCGAGGTCTCCACCCCGGCAGGACTCCCGGTCGTCCCTGAAGAGGCTGCGCTGGTGTTGATGGAGGGCGTCGCCAAGGGAGGCTACCCCGTGGACATCACCCAGTCGACCGCAGACCTGACAAGCATCGGGCAGTCAGAACTGGGCTGTGCCAGTGCTCTGATAGAGTCCGGACTGGAGCCTGCTGCTGTTGCTCAGCTGGAAGTGGCGTACACGGCCCTGGCCGCTCAGGAGTCCTACAGCAGGGAGCAGGACTTCCCCTCCAGCATCACCGACGTCATCCGGCCCATGGAGATGGCAGAGTTGGTGGACATCCTGCCCACGCTGAGTCTCATCGAGGAGGAGCATCCCAGCGGTCCGTCCACTCCATCTGTTATGGATATGCTGGAGAGCTTTGGACTGGGGATCGGAGAGAGCAACACTTTCTTCGACTTGGGGAACTCTGACTTGATGGGAGGAAGTAGTGGGTGTCCATCACAGCCCGAGACGCGCTGCGAGAATAACGTGTTACAAGAACAAGGCACGGCGGCCTCTTGTGCCGTCGCGAGTGCCAAAGATGGAGAAGCGCCCGCTTCCAGCTGGGATTGTCCTCGAAAGGAGACTCAGCAGGTTCCCAGCCAGGGGGCGTGTCTGCCGGTGAGAAGCCAGGTGGAGTGGGACAGACCCTCCAACACTTTATCCTGATATCGACTCCAACTCCAGCCTGCTTGGAACTTAAAACATCAGTAGACTGCAGCACAGTTATCGTAGTAACAGAACTCTGACATTGATTCAGGACTCTGAGTTAATATTAGCTGAAGATCACGACTGAGTGACGTCCTGACACGACCTCATCTGAGACATCATCACCGTCAATCAAACGAAAAACGACGAGACCAATTTGTGTTTTTGCACATTCCTGAACCTGTGGTTTGTCTTTTCTGATATTCGTTTCATTAGACCTCGTTAGGTGTGCAAATGAAGCCACAGTTGTAGTTGTGACGTCCTGAAAATCCATTACTCACTACAGCGCGAAGCAATATCGCTGCTTGTCGGAGCCACAAACAAACTCATTAAATTCAGACGATTCAGTCGAACGGCAGCGTTTGCCTGGCAGTCTGTGAAACGCTGTGTGTGTCGCTAAATAACTGTGGTTCTGTTTTGGCGTTTAATAACACACCAGTGGTTTTGTTTCAGCTGATACCCAGTAAGAGAAGAAAGCCTGTTAGTCAGACAAGAAAACCAAACTCAACATATCAACATGTAGACGTGAAACACAGACGTCTGCTTAAGTTTCACTTTATTTCACAAACGATTGTTCACTTTAAAGTCTTATTCAAAAGACACTGTTTTATTTATTTGTCTGCATTTACCTACTTAGTATTTAGCAAAAAAAAAAAAAATGCAAAGACTTCACACTCACAGCTTTGAAGGAGACACACACACACGGCCTTGCACTGTTACATCTTTATTTCCTGAGTCTTCACCTCCTTCTAACATCCAGTCAGAGTCGATTAAAGACGGAGCTGCAGCCGAGGAAACAACAGAGATAAATACTGAAGCCCCAAATTATTCACCTTCATGCCACAGTTTGTGTCAGAGTGGAGTTTTCTCTGGCTTTAAATGACATTAACAAGTCACAAGACACAGGAAGACACTTCATTAGAGATTATTTTGTTTTTACATTTCTACCAAAAATGCATCGACCAAAGTTTGATTTATGAGAAAATGCAGCTTCTCTACCTTTCCAGACTCTCCTGGTACCATGTTCCCGAGTCTTTTAACGCGCTATAAATTGCAGTAGTTAGTCATTTCCCGGTCATGGCTGAAACGGCGGAGCTTAGCGAGCTTGTTATTAGATCCGTCACGCAGACAGAGCTGTGCATTGTGGCTGCTCGCGAGACGGAGGAAGCCTGTGAAGCCACGTCTCAGCGTTTTCAAGTGCCAGTGACCACGAAATATCATTAAAAGGTAGAAGCTTCACACTGAGAGAAACCTGGAAATTCAAACGTGACACAGAGAAAGGACATGAACGATGTAGCATTTTTAGTAGATAACATCAATATTTTAGTGAATATTAAGAAATAAAAACCCCAAAAATAGAAATACTTTAACATCATCATGTGTAGCATAGTGTCTTATCGTGTTGAGCCACTTGTTCGTGTCATTTCCAGCCAGAAGAAACCCACTGGTGGAAAAAAGGGAATAAAATAAATAGGAAATTGGCGCGGCTATGAATAATTTTGGGCTTAACTGTACATGAACGACTTGTTGCATCTTTATGGCATTCAGTCAACGAGAGACTGAGCTGCAGCAGAATGAATAAATGAATAGATAAATATATTTATATGGAGAAATATAATACATACCTTTATGTAAATATATATATATTTACACACATATATATAGTTTATATATATATACAGTCGTCCTCTAATGTGTTCATAACATCCCATTAAAGAAGGAGAAAAACAGCTGTTAAGTTGAAAATGACAAAATAAATAAAAATGCAATGAACATCATGATTTTTGAATTGTGGTTCAACAGAAATATTAAAAACAAACAACAACAAAAACAAACAAGCATTATGTGACCCGTAAACTTTGGCCCACTGCTCATCAGTAATAATTTGTCCTGGATGTTTTTTTTTTTGTTCTTTTTTTTAAATTATTTTTTTTAACCACAATTTAAAAGCAATGACATATTTCACTAAATTAGAATTTAGCAAATTTTTATTTATTATTACTTTTTTCAGTTTCTAGTTATTTGAGTGACTTTGGTGAATTTTGCCTTTTCTTTAATGGATGAACAAATCTGAGGACGACTGTATCATATATATATATACAGTTTATACAATCACTGAAAGAACATCATGTGGCAGGAATAAAACACGTCAGCCGCCTTTGGAGGCCAGATTTATGTACCACAACAACAATGTACTGTAGCAATGAATTTATGACTCATTAAATAACATTTAAACATCGTAAATGTGCGAAAAACGAAAAGTATGTGTGGTCTGCATTTCTTCTGCTTCTTCCAGGACGAACTACCAAACCTTTAGGTTTACAGGCTGTCGACACACCTGTCCTCTCACTGTTCAGCTGTTTCTGTGGGATAAATCCAATATGTAATCGGCCAAATGCTCGTGTGATGCTACAGTATGTGGAGGTTATCAATGAAGCACACACACTAAGAGCTGCACTGGAGATAAGTGGATTAATCACATCCCGTTTTTCGGATGAAGCAAAAATTATCAGAACAGCCGCTTTTTTTTTGGGAGACTATTTGCTTTAACAATCTAGATGAACGATGTGCTGAGCGCTCCCTGTTATGTGGTACCAAGTGTTATCTGTGAGGGAGCAGATGTAGTTTGTCTCTATGTTAATGCGATAAAGGAACTGAGACATGTTGAAGTTTTAATTAACATCAAGCCTGCTCATTGTGAATTAGGAGTTCTTTAAATCTGTATCAGGACTGCAAGATTTAAGAAACTCTGTTTTAATGATTTCATTTGAATATCAGTAGAAATGATGACTGTAGGCTGGTGTCTACTTGTGAGTGTTCACTGCCCTCTAGTGACCATAGTCATGAATTACATCCAGAAATCACTGTTATCCATCCATCATCTCTACACCTTAACCCTCACGGGGGTCATGGGGGGCGGAGTCTATCCCAGCTGACTCAGGGTGAAGGCAGGTTCACCTGGACAGGTAACCAGTCTATCACAGGGCTACACTTAGAGACAGACAACCAAGCACACTCACATCCACACCTACGGACAATTTACAATCACCAATTAACCTCAACATGTTTCTGGACTGTGGGAGGAAGCCGGAGAACCCGGAGAGAACCCACGCTGCACGGGGAGAACATGGAGACTCCACGCAGAAAGATCCCGGGTGTCCTCACCGGGACGCCAACCAGCAACCTTCTAGCTGTGAGGTGATGGTGCTAACCACTGAGACACCATCAAAGTATGTCTATTATTAGTGTGGTTGTAAGTGGTGGATTTACTTCATGCTTCCCCTCTACAACACTTAAAGGGTTAAAATTCTGAAGTTGAATGACATTTTGGATTTCATGGTCAGGAACGATTCTAAATCTAAAAACTTCACGTTCAAAGTAGAAAATAATGTGAATATGTGGTATTTTCAGCTGCAAGGAGGCTCAGTGGTTTTTATTTATTTATCAACCCAAGAACTTAAAAATGTTTGTTTATATCAGTAAATTAGATTCTATTTTTAATCTTGCGTGATTCATATATTCTTATATTATAACATATCATTAAAAAAAGTACTTTTATTTTAATATTTTAAACACATTTGGCTAAAACAGGCTTTTCAATGCACTACTTGTAATGGAGGATTTAACATTGCTGCTACTTTTACTGAACAAAGGATCAGAATACTTCTAATTATCAGTACATGATTATATTCATGTGTTATACATACAGTTTCTGTGAGCCCAGTAGTCGGTGCAGGTAACCTTCTCCCCGGTTCGCGCTGTGCGTCATGGTGACGGTGTGGAGCTGCTCCGCCGCAGCGCTGCGCTCTGATGGAAAACCAGCGACCAGCAGAGCAGGAGGACGTCTGAATAGCAGCCAGAGCAAAAGGATTCCGTCTCTCGTTACAAAGGCATCGAATAATCCGCAGAATTACTTTGTCAAAGTGTCTCTGTTGGGATGGCGTCATCTGAAAATGCTGAGTCACACCAAGGTACGTCTTTTATTTACAGCCACTGCATGAGGAAGCTGCGCCGTTGTTCTGCAGGCCACGAGCCAGAACTGAGTCCCTACAACCAAAAACAAACAGCCTCGTTCATAAAATATTAAAGAGCATAAAGATGATGTGGCCTTAAAGCCTTTAGATAGTATTTATGAATGTGGTTTTACATCTCTGTCATATATACTATAACCTACCGTCAGGGCCGGAACCAAGAGGGGGTCTGGGGTGGCCACAGCCTGTTAGAGGGCTACATAAGAACTGGTCCAGTAAGAACATACAACAACCAAGTAGTTCTGACCAACCACAAAATGTTCACACTGATTCTGTTGCAATCAAATGATTTCCGTGAAGAGACTTTATCAAAAAGGGCTAGAAGGTCGCTGGTTCACGTCCCGGTGAGGACACACGGGATCTTTCTGCGTGGAGTCTCCATGTTCTCCCCGTGCAGCGTGGGTTCTCTCCGGGTTCTCCGGCTTCCTCCCACAGTCCACAAACATGCTGAGGTTAATTGGTGATTGTAAATTGTCCGTAGGTGTGAATGTGAGTGTGCTTGGTTGTCTGTCTCTAAGTGTAGCCCTGTGATAGACTGGTTACCTGTCCAGGTGAACCTGCCTTCAGGCCCCCACCACCCTAGTGAGGATTAAGGTGTATAGATGATGGATGGATGGATGTTAACCTCCATGTACTTTGACTGTATGTTTGCCATAGTCACTGAAGCGTCGCCGCCGGCACCAGAGGCCCTGAGGGTGGTTCTGTTGGGCCGGACTGGGACCGGCAGAAGCTCCTCGGGCAACACCATCCTGGGCAGGTCAGCCTTCTGCGTGGACACGTCCCCGTGTTCTGTGACCACACGGTGCATGAGGCAGACCGGGACGGCAGACGGGCGGAGCGTCTCCGTCGTCGACACTCCAGGGTTCTTCCACACACACCTGTCCCCTCAGGAGGTCATGGCTGAAGTGGGACAGTGCATCGGTCTGTCCTCGCTGGGACCCCACGTCTTCTTGGTGACCCTGCAGCCTGGTAGGTTCACCCAGGAGGAGAGAGAGGCCCTGGAGTGGATCAAAGCCAGGTTTGGGCCTGACGTCACCCGGTTCATGATGGTCCTGTTCACGTGGGGAGACCAGCTGCAGAGTGAACACGTGGAGAACTTCCTGGAGAAGAGCCAGGAGCTGTCGGAGTTCGTCAGCAGCTGCCGTGGAGGGTATCACACCTTCGATAACAGCGGTCAGGACAAGACAACGGACTGCTCACAACAAGTCTCGCAGCTTCTGAAGAAGGTAGACAAACTCGTGGTGGACAATGGAGGCGGTTGCTATAGCAACGAGATGTTCAAGAAGGCCGAGAGCGCTATGAGGGAGGCGCAAGAGAGGATTCTGGGAGAACACGCTGTGGAAACTCTTCAAAAGGAGGGTGAAGGCAAGGAGGAGCAGTCACCAGACCTAGAGAGGAGGAGGAAGGAGGAGGAGCAGCGACGGAGGGAGGAAGAGGAGGACAGGAAGCGAGCAGAGAGGCTTTTCTGGTGCGAGCTGGTGACGGCTCTGGGGAAGGGCGCTGCAGAGGGGGCGGGCATCGTGGGGAAGGACAAAGGGAAGGGGAAAGCCGTGAAGAAGGCGAAGGTGGTGGAGAAGGCAGCAGCTCTGGCAGCATCGCCGCTCTCCATCACCTCGGCTGCAAAAGCAGTGGGAGGAGCCATGAGGGAGGGAAGTAAGGTGTTGTACAAACACAGGAAAACTTTCCTGCACTGACGGATGCTTCACGTGGACTGGATTCAACTGAATGTTTCAGGACTTAATGGAACATAAACAGTTAAACACCTGTGCCAAACGTTGCTTCATTGTTATTTGACCAACAGGCTTCTTCTGGCTGGAAATGACACGATGCTGAGACAGTGTGTCAGAGATAATATTAGTACATTTTAACTGTTATTTACTAAAAATTCCATATCCAAAATTATTCATACCCCCGAAATTGTCACTGACCTTTCAAAAAATTAAAGTTTTGTCACTGAAGGCCAAACCAGGATAAGGATTTCGTTTTTTAAGCACTTTTTTTTTTCCTTTTTAAATTTGCAGGTAAATATTAGACACCAGGTTTAGGGCTGCTGCAACCATTAGGACTTTTGTTTGGGTTGTGAACACAGTGAATCCTAGACAGGGTTTTGATTTTGACATTTTTTTTTTTTTGTTAAGACAAGATAGTTAATTCCCAACTTCTAAATTTCTTTCTTTTTCTTGAGAAGCATCCATTCCTCTTTTTGTTCTGATTCAGTTGTGGTCAGATGAGATCATAACAGTTGTTTGGACACTGAAATGTGGCTTTAGCTTGGCAAAAGAAAGGAGAAGTAATGAACCTCATGAACACCATCCTCACAGCCAAACACGGTGGCGTTAATGTCATGATTTGTTTTTTTTAGTAGGCGATGGACCAGACAGTGTCGTCCAAGTAAACAGCATCATGAGAGTGACAGATAAATGTATTTATGAACACTTTTGGACCTGGTATTTAAAGCAAAAATATTTTTTTAAAAAGCAAAACACATCATAAGTATTTGTTATTAACCTCTTTAGCACAGCGTCCTACTGTCTTCTGTCACAGAGGAAACCCATTGGTCAAATAAAACTTCACGATAAATCAAATTTGGGTTTGATACGAATAGTTTTGGGCTTCATCACACGTAGAGGCGGTGAAAGCCAAACTCCCTTGACTGTGTTTCATGTGTTTTTTTCATCCTGCGTCACACATAACACGCTAGAAATCTTTGTTCACAATCAGCACAGAGCACTTTAGACCACACTGTCAATTAAACATGCATGTGTGTGTTTGTGTGTGTGTATTTTGTGTTTCGGTCAACAAAGAACATCAACACACCTTTGAGCTTGGAAAATTCATGGTGTAATAAAAGGCAAAGTCATAAAAGTCGTGTGCAATTCAGCATCCTGCGACTAACACGTTTGTATTTGTCAAAAATAGGTTAGTCTCTTACAGAAATGTTCCCATTTTTACCCCTGACACAAAAAAACACAATCAGGTAATAACAGAGGAGAGACGCAAGAAAAAAAAAAAAGTTTAACCGCGACGTTGCAGCTGTTCCATCTTTGGCTTCGTGACGACATATTGAGCCCTTTAGTTCTGCCAGGAAGAAATACACCGAGTATAAAAGACAAGGAACAAACACAAACAGTAACATACTGAATAATAATAATGATGATGAAAGAATGAAGCTTTTCGGGGAGTTTCTGACAATAAAGAGGAGGAAGACACTTTGTGGAAGAAATTTTACAAACACTCGAATATTGGCTAAGACTGTCGGATGTAGTGACGGCGATGGAGGAGGAACCTTTGAAGCTCTGGGGACTCTTACAGCTGTAACACAGGAAACTAAAGCTGCATTCAGTCCACCTGCTACGCAAACTGCAACATTAGGGACATTTTTGTGGACAGTTAGTGTTGATCTGATGGTAATTTAAGTGTCTCCAGAATCACTCGAGGCTCCTAATAAAAAATGAAAACTACGGGCAAACACGTGACTGCATTTAAGCTTCCTGTGCACACCGGGGACACATTTCCAGTGTCGCATCTCATGGACTTAAAAAAAAAAACACAAAACATACACAGCGCATATACACACACACACACACACACACTTTTGCGAACACACAGAGCCACACTCAAAGTACCAATCAGACAGAGAATCGCTTTCTTGTTGGTCTCCAGAGTGAAGCCAGACCATTAGTCCCTTTGCTAAGCTCGGTTGAAGGCCAAGGTCTGTGTTCAGATATGGAACTGAAGCAGGCACAGGCGGGAGGCTGCACGGCGCACGCTCTTAGACCGGCATCGGCAGGCTCATCTTCCCTTTTCCTCGAAGCACTGCAGGGGGACAAAGAATGATGTTAGCCTGATTTTCAGCTTTCTTCACTGTTCTGTTTAGAAGATGAGCTAACGACAAACACTGAAGTGAAGCTTTAGAAGATCACGTTAAAGATCCTCCTCCATCCTTGATTAAGTCATTGAATGTCCTGTTTATCCTGTTTACTTTTCACCTTATAAATATATATATTTTGCACTATTTGAAACTTGAGTTATTTATTTAGCTTATCTATTTATTTCTATCTATCTCTTTCTATTTCTGTCCATTTCTATCTATTTTTCTATCAATTTCTTTCTCTATTTCCATCACTATTTCTTTCTATTTCTATTTCTTTTTTATCTATTTCTGACTATTTCTATTTCTATCTATCTCTATTTATGTCTATTTCTACTTCTTTCTATCTTATTGTTTCTTCTTCTCGTTTCAGTCTGGAACATGTGCTCATTACATTTCACTGTGTGTTATACTGTGTATAATTGAGTTTGTGTCAAATAAAGGTCTTGAATCTTGATAAGACTCGTCTCTCTGTGTCACAGTCACATATATAGAAAACAATCCCCTCCTGGCTTAAAGCGGTAAAACTGCCACGCTACACAATTACAAGTTGTACTTTGGAACTTTGGTCCCACATGTTCGAGCTGGAAACTGATTCTGAAGACGGACGGTGATAGAAAAAGTCCCAGGCTGCCCGTTGACAGGATCGGTTCCTTGGCTTTGTTACATATGAAAACCTGGAAGTCTCAATCAGTGTTTTTGAGACTGTTTACAAAGTGGAAATGTGCGGCGACACGACTGCTTATTTCACTTAATGTGTGTTTTCCAGCATGCACGAACCACCACATGGAAATACAAGTTCTCCTTTAAACACAACACACAGCTCAGTCGTCCCCAAACATCTGCATCTCAGCATACTTCATATTTAGCTGACACTTCTCACAGTATTACCGTCGGACGGTGACAGTCCTGCTATGATTGGACGTGACAGACAACAACAACAGAGTGTCTTCACTCACCCCTCGTGACATAAAGGTAGAAGAAGTCGCAGTAGAAGATGGTCTGCACGACGCCGGACACCACGGCGATCTGGTCGAAGAAGCCCTCCATGTGGTAGCGCCACACCCAGTTGGCGATGTAGAGGGCTCGGTAGAGGCCCAGGAAGAACAGGTAGTGGGTGGTGATGGACTCCGCCTCGCCCGTCTTGGTGATCATGAAGAGCTGCGGCATTATGGCCACCGCCTCCAGGAAAATGGAGAAGGTCCACAGGATCTGAGAGGAACCAGAGACACATGCTGAGACATTAGGAACTCACACTGCTTTAATCCATCTGTATCCACACAACACTGAAGCTAAGGATACGTCACTACAGCTGCAAATAAATAATTCAGTGATGGAAATATTCCTGGAAACCAGTGTTTTGTTTCTACCTCCAGCGGGGTGAAAGCGTAGTTCTCCAGGAAGGACAGGCCGATGACAGGAACCAGCAGGAACTCCACGCGAAACGTGTCGTTCTCCGAGTCGTACGAGTTCCTGAAGCGCATGTAGATCAGGTACACGGTGGCGTAGGACAGCGCCAGGAACACCACCTGAGAGCAGAGGCAAATATTGACTGTTGCCAACGAACGTCCATAAAGGCTGAGCAGATAAGATGTTGGTGGTTTTGCATGTTTAACTGGTGGCTGTGTGCTTTGCATCACTATACGAGACGCTGTCTGGGTGTGAAGTGAGCGTGTTTGCACGTGTCACTAACGATGACCGTCATTCTCGACTCGTCTGTTGAATTGTTTCTCCTAATCCTAGAAAAATTAACCCAATTATTTTGGGAATTTTAATTCTGTGACTTACCTTCATGACCACGTTGTAAACAGAAACGAAGACCGTGAACAGGTCAAGGTATCTGGTGGAGAAAACAAGAGCAAACAGCACCTGGGACTTCCCAGAGATTCCTAGAAAGAGAAGAACTAGATTAATCACATGTGACTGTACATACGTTTATATTTTTATCTGTTGTGTTCTTGTGCTGCTGTAAAGACCAAATCTCCTGTGTGGGGATCAATAAAGAATGATTTGATCTAATCTTATGTACAATCAAAAGACATCATCTCACGGACACGAGGAGAAAAGTGATGTTTCTGCCAGTGTTGTGATTTAAGAGCAGAAGCAGACGACTGATGGTTTGGTTTAACCCTTCAGGTTGAAAGCAGAGGACCATAAGGACACAAACATCCTGGTCAAAGCAATTCAAAGCAGCAGATCATGGATGGATGGATTTATTATTTATAATCAATAACCTCATCACGGCTCATAAGGATTCATTGATTTCCAGCACTTTAACCCTTTAAATGCCAGTTTGTTTACATGATGTCACTGTTATTGGTGGAAAAAACACTTTTTTTTGGTCATACAATAACTTTTTTTTGTTTTTGGATTATCACAGACTTAGACTAGCTTTGATTTTTATTTTATTTTTTTTTTTTTGGTGCAGTGTCAGATTTAAGAATAAAAGCCTTTTACACATGAACCATGCAGACTGCTGTCTAATCCGTGGAGCAACACTTCCGTTTGTTTGCCACGTAGCTTCCACTCCTGCACAAACTCTCCGCTGTGCAAATACTCGGACTGGACTGTTGCTAAACCGGGACTGAGCCCAGTGACCGTCCAGCTGCTCCCACCGCGGGTTAAAGAGCACCGACGGGCTCCGGTGCTGCTCTCCTGAAACCTACCAGCGCAGGACTTGGACCTCCATATCTTCAGCAGCAGGATGATGATTGCCACCAAGTGTGACACGTCACCGGCCAGACGGAAGATGTTCATCCTGCTTCAGCGATTAAAGAAACTTAAAGAAACTCCTGACGGGCCTGACGCGTCCGAAGGAGTCCGAAGGAGCTCAGCCGTGAAAATCCAACCAGCGAGCCGTCGGTGAGGGTTTCAAAAAGGCGGAGAACGGAGGCTGGAGCGTCCGTCACACGGCTGGCTGTCTGGGCGTCTAGACGTGCGCAGGTAAACACACAAACCAGAGGGTTTTCCGCTCCGAGCGCTGCGGTTCTTCAGGAAAGTCGCTTCAGAGGAGGTGACGTGGCTGACAGCGTCAAGTTACCCGCGCGCCAACCGCTGCATCCCTCTCAACTTCCGGTTTTCAAAGTAAAACTCGCGTTAGTAAACTCCTCCTTTTGAGAGTTTAACTCAATTAAATTTGAAAACGGCGATTTTCACAAATGCATTCAACACATGTTTAACATTGGTCGTGTTTTTCCGGGCAAATCGTTGTTTTTTTATTTTGTATTTTTTTTAACGCTACACTGTTTTATTTGGAAAGTAAACTCCCTCGCGGTATTTCCTGTATGTTTTTTATTTTTTATTTAATGGTGATGCAAATAGAAGTAATGCGTCCTACAGAGGTGGTGTTCTGGATAAGCAGCAGGTGGAGACAAGCTGCAGGCAATAAAGAGTCGCAAAGCCAATGAATGAAAACAAACCAACAGCAAGCAGAGAATGTTCCCACAACACTGGCTAACATTACCTAAAAGTTCCAATAAGGTTTCAAAGAAAACACTTTAATGTTCAAAAAATGTTTTGAGGATATTTGACATTTCAAATAATGTTCCTATAAGATTAAAAGTGTTTTTATTACAACATTCAGAGTGCTGTCAGAGCCTCTTACATGATTAAACAAAAAATGTTTTCCAGATGTTATCGAGGCTGCAGATGACAGAAAGTGTTTCTGTAATGTGACGTATTGACAAAGATTTTGCCTGCAGTGTTTTGAGGATGTTGTTGAGGTAACACATTACAGAACGTTCTCCTAGAAAGCATTTCCACAGGTTTACATGATGGCAAATGAAAGGAGTTCTCAACGCAACATTCAGCAAATGTTTTAAGAAGAACGTTTTTAGATTCTCTGTAAGAAAAACATTCTGGGAAATATAAGCGTGGAAGTGTAAAATAAAAGCTGTTAATATATGAAGATGTTTGTTTCTGTCATTCCTTGTATTGTTGTAATTTATTTCTTTTACTTCTTATACAGAGAGCTAAGATTCATCAGAGTCAAATTCCTTGTCTGCGTTGCACAAACAAGGCCAATAAAGTTGAGTCTGATTCTCAAGCAGATTCTCTTTTCTACTCCAACTCTCTAACAATTGTCTTCGAACTCAAACTGCAATTTGCAGTTCATAACTATTTATTTATTTTT